TGGTGGGATGGCAGGCAAGGGTGCAGCCAGGTCTGGAGAAGCAGTCTTTGCCTGCAACTTACATACTGGCCATGAAAATGTAGGGTTGTGAGGGTGTGGGAGTCCCTCAGCCTCTCTGGGCATTTGGATGGAGTCTGATCTTGCTCTGTCACCTAGGGCCGCAGCCAAGATCTCTGATGGTTCCCAGTACTACGTCTTGCTCATCATCACTGATGGGGTCATCTCTGACATGACGCAGACTAAGGAGGCCATTGTCAGTGTGAGTCTGAGGAGGAGGGCTTGGTAGAGAGGGAACCATGAAGGGGGGGGAAATGTGAAGGGTCTGAGATTTTACTGCAGTTACAAGTTAGCCTGCCATAGTTTCATGGATGCTGGTGGAAGACACAAGACTGCTGGGTCAGAGACAAAGGACTTTTGTTATTCACAGCAATAGCAGTAACCAGACTATCAGCATTTGTTCCAGTTCTCTGAAGTACCAATGCCCACAGGTTGATGGACCAGGCAGTGGTCTGCATTACAGGAAAGCAACCTTAACTTACCACGAACGCATTGCTGTTGAGTTGGATCCGACTCATAGCGACCCTTCCTTGGGTTTCCAAGGAGGTATCACTATGGAAGTAGACTGCCCAACGTTCCTTCCGAGGAGTGGCTGGTGGGTTTGAACCGCCAGCCTTCTGGTTAGCAGTCAAATGCTTTAGGCACTATGCCACCAGAGCTCCTAAATCTTTTATAATGATTTATAAAATCTTTTATAAAATGCATGCCTCCCCTTTCTCCAGAGGAAGACACTCTATCTACACAAACACCCTGGAAAAGATAAAGTGGAACAAAGGAAGTCAGGGCCTTGACTAAATGTGCAGAAAAATGAGACCCATGGAGAACTCTCTCCCAAAGTCACCTTTCTTATTATGGTCGCTCGCCTCAACCATTGGACTTTCTCTCTCCCACAGGCCTCCTCACTGCCTATGTCTATTATCATTGTTGGTGTGGGACCAGCCATGTTTGAGGGTGAGTAGGATTGGAGGGGCAGGGGTCCATGAGTGGGGCCAAAAACTTGGGAGAACAGCAAAAGGTCTTTCCCAAAAGAAGAGGACTCAGGGCAGAGAACCACAGGGAAACCCAGGCCTGTCTCACAGAAAAGACAGGATGGGAACTTGGCCAAATCACAGTCAGTCCTCCCTAACCTAATTTCCTCATCATAACCAAGAGTGATATACTAATATTGTTCTTCCCTCCTGGGGTTCTTGGAAGATAGAGATGTGTGGGAAGGCAAAATAATAATACCACTATAACAATGCCCAATATTTGTAGGCTTTGATACAACCATTAGGCATACTCACAATGACTCTGAAGGGAGGTATGAGGGAGGGATGGCATGGGTTGGGGCAGGAGAGGCTAACCAAGGGGTGTCTTATCTGCAGCAATGGAAGAACTGGATGGTGACGACGTGCGTGTGTCTTCTAGGGGACGCTATGCAGAGCGGGACATTGTTCAGGTAGACCTGACCTGGGAGAGGAGTGGGAAGGAGGGGCTAAGGTGGGACCTACTTTCCCTTACTGACTTCTCAGTCACCTCTCTCGCCTTCACTCTTCCATCCTTCCTGCACTCGTTGAACAGATTCTCTTTGAGAAACAGGCAAGCTGCTGCAGCCATTGTGGATTCATGGTAAAAGAGGTCCCCAAGGTCCCTGCCCTATAGTTGTTGTTGTTGTTGTTATGTGCCGTCGAGTCAAACCTGACTCATAGCGACCCCTCCTTGGGTTTCCGAGGCAGTATCACTACGGAAGTAGGATTGCCCAACCTTCCTTCCGAGGAGTGGCTGGTGGGTTTGAACCGCCAGCCGTCTGGTTAGCAGGCAAGTGTCTTAGCCACTATGCTACCAGAGCTCCCCTGCCCTAGGGTAGCCAATAAAATAAATAATCACACAGATAAACATCTTATTAGGTTGGGATACATGCCCTAAATACATAGTAAAAGCCACTATCAGAGCCTATCTATACAGGGAGCTTGACTTAGATAGGGTAGTCAGAGAAGGCTTCTATGAGGCAATAACATTTGAGCTGAGACCTGAAGGATGAGTAGAAGGGTACAGGATGAGCAGAGGCAGAGGAACAACAAATGAGAAGGCCCTGTGGCTTAGAAGACAAGGAAAAGGTAGGACGCCAGGGTGGCAGGATCACAGCAAGCAAGGGGTAGAGGAAGCCAAGGCCTTGTAGGTCACGGCAAAGATTTGGTGGCTTTTTTCCGTAAGCATTGGAAAGCTCTTGAAGGATTTTACATAGCAAAGTAAGATGGCCAGACGGGTATTTTAAGAGGATCTCTCTGGCTTCTGGATGAAGGATGGACTACAGCAAGGCAAGAGAGAAGGCAAGTAGACCTGTTAGTGAGGAACCTTTGAAATAGTAAAGGTAAAATGACAGAGATCTGAACTAGGGCAGAAGCAGTGGGGATGGAGAGAAGTGACAAGTTCAAAAGATATTTAAGAAGAATAATTTACAAGAGTTGATGATTTAATTAGATGATGGAGATGAGAGATGCAGCAAGGATAACTCAGTTTTCTAACGTGAGTACTGGGTGAGTAGTGACCCTGTTTACTGGGATGAGGAAGGCTGGAGAAGCAGCAGATTTGGCAAAAAGAGCTAGAATTTGTCTTGAACACATTGGCTTTGAAGTATCTGTGAGGTAAACAAATGTAGATGTGATGCAGGCAGTTTATTATGTGGGTCTGGACCTTGAAAGAGAGGCTAAGGATAAAAATGTATAAATTTGTTAGTCATGAGGGAACAGTTTTTAAAGTCAGGGAGTATATGAAATCACCCAGAAAAAGAATTGAGAGAAAGAAGGGACTAGGTTTAGTCATCAGGTAGATCTGGGGAAATAAAGGGAGAGAAGGGGAGGAACATCCAGAAAGGTAAGAGTAGAACCAGAAGAGTTTAGAGTCAGGAATGTGATGTGTCAAAGAAGATTATGGTAATGGAAATCTAAAGAGAAATCAACCAAGGTGATGACAAAATTATTGTCCATTGGATTGATTTAGCAATTGGGGCTAATGACAACACTAGCAAGAGAAGTTTCAGTGGAGTGTGACACCATATTGGAGTGGGTTAAGAGTGAATACCAAAAAACAAATAAAACCCATTGGCATTGAGTCTATTACAACTCATAGGGCCCAACAGGACAGAGTAGAACTGCCCCACAGGGTATCCAAACCTGTATTTCCACCATTTTTCTCCTACAGAGTGGCTAATGGGTTTGGCCAACCTTTCAGTTAGCAGCTAACGGTTAAAAAAAGAAGAAGAAAGGGGACAGCAAATGTAGAAAACTGTCCAAGATGGGGGCAGAGAGCAATAGCTTGGAAAGTGGGGGCCAAAGACTCTCCTCTGTTCCCAACCCTGCTCCTTTTTCTCCTGGCTACCACCCACACCTACCTTTTCTGTGCCTGTCCCAGTTCGTCCCTTTCCGAGATTATGTCGACCGGTCAGGGAACCAGGTGTTGAGCATGGCCCGGCTTGCCAAGGACGTGTTGGCCGAGATCCCAGAGCAGCTCCTATCCTACATGCGGACCAGGGACATCCAGCCTCGCCCCCCACCCCCTGCCAACCCCAGTCCCACTCCAACCCCAGAGCAGCCCTGAGAAGCCCAGCTATACAATGCCTAGCAGTCTGTCTGCCTGCTCACTCACTGCTTCTGCTGAAAGCCAAAGGGGCCTGGAGCTCTGGACCTCACTGGGAGGGCCAGCTTGAAGGATCAGTGCTGGCTGGCCAAGCACCCTACCCCCTCACCCGCAGAAGGGCCTGGCACTACCACCACCTCCCTGCCTACGTGCCAATAATAAAGCTGATCTTTACTCCACCTCTGTCTCAGAGTCTTAGGGTGGAAGACTAAAGAACTCAGGGCCTGGGGCCACACCCAGAGAGGGTGGGAGGGAAACTGTCTTCAGTAAGGACTCCTCCCCATCCTACCACATATTCATACAATCACTTCTTTCTACATTCTCAACACTTGTAGAAAACATAAGTGAAACTTTCTAAGGAGAAAGGTCCATAGTGTTCATGAGATTCTCAAAGGCATTCCTGACCTCCAAAGAGATCTGCTGTAAGATCCTGCAACTCTGCTCTGACCCATTTAGTCCAAGTTTTCTGAATGAGGATAATAAAAAGAGCTAACATTTTCTTTGAGCATTTACTACACATCATACACTCTGTCAAGTGATTTACAACCATCATTTCACTTAACCCTCATAACATCCCAGTAAGGTGGGTTTTATATACCAAAAACCCACTGCCACGGAGTCGATTCTGACTCATAGCGACCCTCATTGGGTCTCCAAGGCTGTATGTAAATCTTTAGGGATGTAAGTTGACTCATATTCCCTGACCCCAGCAGCTAGTGGGTTTGAACCGCCAACCTTCTGGTTAGCTGCCAAAGGCCTTACCCACTAAACTAATGTTGTCCTAGCTCCTAATGTTGTCCCTATTTTACACATAAGCAAACTGAGGCTCAGAGGGGTGGATTAACTCACCAGTTTGACTCCAGAGCTAAGATCTTAGATACTAGCATCTAAGTTCTCTGACACACTCAAGAACTGAGTTTTCCAGCTCTATTTTACAAATAAGGATCTCGAGGTAGGAAGAATTTAACAACTTGCCCAAGTTCACATCGCCAGGAAGTAGTCCAGTCACATTCAAACCAGCTTGTCGGTTTTCACACCATCTTCCAAACAGCCTTCCTGTGACCGCAAACTGCATTGCTGCGCCAATCCACAGGGTTCGGTACACCTGAATCTCACCAGTTTACCTACACAACCACTTCCCAGGTCCTCTTAAAACCCAGCCTCTTCCTACAGATTCACACCTTCCTCCAGTCCCCTCCTATATGTTGTTGTTTGCCATCGAGTCGGCCCCGACTCATAGCGACCCCTCCTTGGGTTTTCAAGGCAGTATCACTACGGAAGTAGGATTGCCCAACCTTCCTTCCGAGGAGTGGCTGGTGGGTTTGAACCGCCAGCCTTCTGGTTAGCAGTCAAGTGCCTTAGCCACTATGCTACCAGAGCTCCTCCCCTCCTATATACCTTCCCCAAACCCCTCCCCTTTCTTTCAATCACATTCCAATAGCCCTAAGCGGCGCCGCTCTTTTTCAGTCTGTCTAGCTAGTTGCTACTCAGATCTATCCTTTATCTTGACTCCAGCACCGCCCCTTTACGTGTTCTGAAGCCCACTCTTCTGTTTAACCCCACCCACCCTCTTACCCCGGCCGTGCCCCTATTTTCCTAACTGGGCTCGGCTATACAAAAAGCTCTGCCCACTTTCTGCAAACCCCGCCCCATTGTTGTTAGTTGCAATCGACTCCTAGCTACCCTATGTACAAAACCAAACACTGCCCAGTCCTGTGCCAGTTGCTGTTTGAGCCCATTGTTGCAGCCACTATGTCAAGGGATCTCATTGAGGATCCTCCTCTCTTCTGCAGACCCTCTACCAAGCATGATGTGCTTCTCCAGAGACTGAGTCCTCCTGATAATATGTCAAAGTGCGTTCAGAAGTCCCGCCATCCTCACTTCTAAGGAGCATTCTGGTGGTACTTCTTCAAGACAGATTTGTTCATTCTTCTGGCTACGTCCATGATGTATTCAATATTATTTGCCAACACCATAATTCAAAGCCATCAAGGTCTTCCTTACTCATTGTCCAGTTTTCTCATGCATATGAGGTGGCTGAAAATACCATGGATTGGGTCAAGTGCACCTCAGCCCTCAAGGTGAACCCTTTGCTTTTTAACACTTTAAAGAGGTCTTCTGCAGCAGATTTGCCCAACCCAATAAATACATCGTTTGATTTGTTGACTGCTGCTTCCACGGGCGATGATTGTGGATCTAAGTAAGATGAGATCCTTGACAATTTTACTATTTTCTCCGTTTATCGTAAGGTTGCTTTTCTTGTCCAGATATTGCTTATTGGCTCCACAGACATTCTATTTTCTTCTAACTTCACCCCGCCCCCACCCATAACCTCGGTTCCCCCTTACATCGCAGCCTGCTTCCCTCTTGCTCAGGGCCCTGCCCCCAGCTCCGCCCCATGGCGCCGGCCCCGCCTAGTCCCCTTTCTAGGAGACCTACGCCGGGTCCCTACCGCAGCCACGGCGCCAGCGGGAGGAGAGAGAGGGCGTAGAGGGGGAGGGGAGAAGGGCGGGCTCCTCACACCCAGCCCCGCGCTCACAGTCCGTGGTCGCAGATTCGTCACAAACGGCCCGGGGTCCCCAGGCCCTTAGTACTATGATTCCATTCCCCTAGAAACTTAACTCTAATATTGAGGGACCAGGGAAGCTTTTCAGGGTGTCCAGAGAGCATTCCCAGTCTCAGAGAATAATCATCGAGCTTCAGAAGGCAAGTAGGGGTCCATGGCGAAAGTGCAGCACGCCAGGGCCGCGGCACTGGGTTTACCCTGCGCAGACGCCGTCGCCGTCGCCGCCGCCGCTGCTGCTGCCGCTGCCGCTGCCTTTGCCGCCACGGTCTCCGCCGCTCCCGTCCCCGCGGTGCCTCCCGGAGGTTCCATTGTTCTGGCGGCGCCTAGTCCCGAGGGTCGGCAACCTAAGGACCTGCGAAACGGGCGGCGGCCAGCCGCGACCGACTGAGTCGGGACACCTAGGCGCCGGCGGGACCGGGAGCGTCAGGGGTCAGCGCGGGAATCCTAGGGAGCCGCAGCCAGAACGCGGGGCCTCGGGGGGCCAAGGTGGCTAGCTCTGTGGTCCCAGAATTGGGGATCCAGCTTCCCAGTCCTTCTTTCCCCGCCGACCTCCCCAAGAGGGGTCGGAGCCCCGGCGGGCGCCCCCGGCGATGAGCCCGGACTCGAGGTGGCCGGTGAGTGTGGGCCTGAGATCTGGGCTGGGGTGGCCAACGGGGAAGGGGTAAGCTACTTTCGTGGGACGCGCACTGAGCTGCAGGGCCTGGGTGCCCGGCGGGCCGCTCCAGCCGGGAGAACTGACAGTGCGCTGGCTCCCAGCCGACATCCAGCGGCAACATTGTATCTTTCGGGGCTGCCTGGGCCAATGGCATGAGAGAAACCTTATTTAACTTGTTACTCTTTGACAAAGGGGAAACGCCGCCGCATCCGGGAGAGAGGGCTGCGGGCACCTCTGGGGCCCGGCCTGGTCCCTCCGGCCCCCGCCCCCTACTTCCTCCGGCCCTCTGAGCTACGGGAGCAGCCGCAGTCACCACACTCCTGGGCCCTCCCCACGGGCTTTCAGGTTAAGTTCTGATCTCCATCCCCTGTGTCTCTGCTGCAGGGTCAGGCCAGGGTGGCAAAGCCGCAAAGTTCACCAGGGACCCAGTATCAAAAGAGGAGAGCTTGTTTGTGCCTCCTTTTGGTTTGTGTTTAAAGACACAATCCCCAGGTAGGCAGTGGAAGCGAGTTGGAGTTGAACGCGTACCTTTACTCAGTGTGAGAGTCAGTGGTTGTTGACAGAGGGTCTTGAGCAGCGCGCTTGCCTGGTAAAGCCTCAGAAGAGAAGCCAGTTTAGTTCACTGTTTGTCCAGGAGCTCAGGATGGCTTTGTCTGGGATGGTGCCAAGCCCCCAGTTGAAGTATTGAACTCAACTAGGCAGAGAGAATTTGGGGCAGTCTCTGACCAAGCTAGGCTTCCTGGGGGTTGGGTACCATCTGTTGTCTCTACTCACCCAGGAACACTGGGGAGGAGGAAGAGAGGGCCCCTGAGGACCAGCAAAGATCTAAGTGTGCCTGATTGTCACATACGTGTTTGTACCCTTAGGACCCAGCACTCAGTAGGCACTCAGTTGATGTTACATGAATGGGTGAATGAAGAGTACAGATGTAAAATGTGCCACTTACTGTCCCTGACTAAATGACCTAAGAGTTTTCACTTGGCTTCATAGTACATCCCCCAACTCAGTCCTAGGGCAAGGGCATAGGCTCCCCCTAAAGGCCTCAGAAATGAACTGATACTTTTTATAATCCAGTGGTTTCTGTTGGAGTCCGGGACCAAGTCCCTGGCCACCCATTCAGGTTTCTACATGGGCTAACACTAGCCTTTATCCCATCTCCAAATTTGGTAATTCCTTCATTCAGCCATTCATTTGACAGGTCATTCATTCATGAAAAACTGAGTGTTCAGTATATGTCAGGTACGGAGGATATAGAGATAGGTAGGCACATGTCTGCACTGTACAAGCTCTGAGTCTAGTGGAAGGAGGCAGACAAGTCTCCTTGATAAAGTGCAATGATGGAGGGGAGAATGGGATGCTGTAAAAACAGTGCTCCTACAGGAGAGTCAAAGAAGTCAACAGAGGTGACATTTGAGCTCAGCAAAGATGGAGGGGATTCCAAGTAGAAGTCATCTTGCAGGAATTAAAAGATTATAATATTTTCAGAGAAGAGCCTTGTTTTCAGATAAACATAAGCACAGCTATACCTGGTGAAGAGTCTGGAAAGGAGGACTAGGGCCAGACAGTGAACAGAAGGCTCTGAATGCCATCAGAAGAAATTTGAATGTTACCCTGGAAGAAGTGGAGAGCATGTGGAGGGTTTTAATCAAGAGAGTGACATGACTGTTACTACCTGATAGAGAGATCACTCTGGTTGCATTATGTGATATTGGACTAGAGGAGTTTAGACATAGGGCAAGATGACCAGGCAAGATGTGGTGAGGTCCCAGACCAGGACCATAGTGGAAGAGATGGCATTTTGAGATGCTGTAAAGGTGGACTGGCCAGGACTTGGTGACTCTTGGGGAGGAGGAGGGCAGGAGAAAGTGGGTTTCCTGATGCGGGTGGCCAGTAATCCTTCCCCAGGCCTATGCTAATTGATCTCTGTGTTCTAGTTGTGACAGCATGGGGGTGGACTTTGATGTGAAGACTTTCTGCCACAACTTGCGGGCAACTAAGCCACCATATGAGTGTCCTGTGGAGACCTGCCGCAAGGTCTATAAGAGCTACAGCGGTATCGAATACCACCTATACCACTATGACCACGACAACCCACCGCCCCCACAGCAGACTCCACTTCGCAAGCACAAGAAAAAGGGGCGCCAGTCACGCCCAGCCAACAAGCAGTCACCCAGCCCCTCAGAAGTGTCACAGTCACCAGGCCGTGAGGTGATGAGCTATGCACAGGCCCAGCGCATGGTGGAGGTGGACCTGCATGGCCGCGTCCACCGAATCAGCATCTTCGACAACCTGGATGTAGTGTCGGAGGATGATGAGGCCCCAGAAGAGGCCCCTGAGAATGGCAGCAACAAGGAGAACACTGAGACACCGGCAGCTACTCCCAAGTCGGGCAAGCATAAGAACAAGGAAAAGCGCAAGGACTCCAACCATCACCACCACCACAATGCTTCTGCAAGCACTACTCCAAAGCTGCCAGAGGTGGTATACAGAGAACTGGAGCAGGATACTCCTGATGCCCCCCCCCGGCCAACTTCCTATTACCGGTAAGGCCACCCTTAGCCCTAACTCTGGAAAACCCGTCAAACAGGGCTCAGGAGCCAGAGAAGTGGCAGGTAGCAGTTAAGAGAATGGCAGGGATTAAGGATAGAGAAGCACACTGGTCCTCCCTGGGCAGTGAAAGAAACAGTGCCCCAGCTAATGATGGAGGCACCTATTGTATACTACCACATGCCAGACCCTGGTGCTTTATAACTCGCTGCTGTCAGGTCACTTCTGACTTATGGTAGCCCCGTGTGTTACAGAGTAGAACTGCTCCAGAGTTTTCTTGAGTATATCTTTACAGAAACAGATCACCATGCTTTTCTTGGCCCCGCTAGGTGGGTTTGAACTGCCAATCTTTTCATTAGTAGCTGAGTGTGCACTGTTTGCACTATCCAGGGACCTCTGTGGATGCTTTATGGGAAAAAAAAAAAAAACCAAACTCACTGCCTTCGAGTCGATTCTGACTCACAGAGACCCCCGTTGCGTTTCGGAGGTGGTAAATCTTTATGGAAGTAGATTGCCCCATCTTCCTTCCATGGGGCAGCTAGTGGGCTTGAACTGCCAGCCTTTTGGTTAGCAGTCAGATGCCTTAGGCACTGTGCTACCAGAGCTCCACGATGCTTTATAGCCACTCTTATTTTATTCTCACATCAAACTCAGGTAGGTATTGTCCGCTTTTCAAAGATGAGCAAACTACAGTCTTGGAAGGGGACTAGATTTGTTGAAGATCACATGCCAGTAAATAGCTGAACTGGGATTCAAACCCAGACCTCTCCCAAGCTGCAGTATTTCTACTGTATGAGAGATTCTGTTACTGATCCTTGATCCTCTCCACTCACTCACTATGTGATTTGGGCAACTCATGCAACTTCTGGTTTTAAGGTAACCATCTGCAGAACAGGCACCTCCAAGGGCCCTTTCATGTCATGTAATTGTTTCTTTGTATCTCAGTTCCTTCTAAAAAGTAGTCACAGTGGCTTCTAATAAAGGCACAGGTACAATAAGGCTGAATTCCTTCAACATGAGGTAAAAGTAAATGTAGGGATGGGTGGGTGAGGGTGAAGCTGAAGGATGGTACAAAAACCAAGTATAAAACTTGTCTCTGAGAGTCTTGGCATCCAAGGTAAAAAGAACATTCTGATGAGACAGTTAAGTAGCAGTCTTTTTTGTCAGCTACTCAGAAGGCCTTATCTCTAAAAAGGATTTGTCATAAAGATTTTTATATGAAAGAATATTTTTACCAAAACACAATCCACATGTTATATTAAATCTTAGTTCTAAGCAAAACTGTGAGAACCCAAGTGTTATGGCCAAGTATGTCAGTTTCCTGTCTCCTGTTCCTTCATCTGTTCAGCCAAGCTCTGCTTCCTTTTGGCTTTCCACTGTCTCTGTTAGCATTGACTACTGTGTCCCCTAAACCACAGCCCCTTCCCATACAGACTCTCTCTGGGCTTTCCCTCCCTTCTAATGGCATTTCAGCTCTTTCTGCTCTGATAGGCAGCCCAGCCATTGAGTTCCTTTTCTTACTCTGTCTACTGAGATTCATTCTTTGCCTCCTGGGGCAGCAGTTGTCAGCTGGTGCAGTGCTATCAGCTGGGAGATGTGTGGCATATAATTTATTACTGCTGTTAGTAGAACTGCCCAAGTTTTGGAAATGATTTACTTTGTATATGAATTAAAGGAGATTTGAGGTCATCTCTCTTAACAACATCATTTTCTCTTACTTGGATTCTGATATGCTTTCTTGAGGGGAAGACAGTTGGTCAAGTGTCAGCTGGTATAGCAGGAATTTTTAACATGACATACAGCCTACCTGATCTGGGCCACAGCCTGTAATCTGGGTGCCCTGTGGGAGGGTGTTTTGTACCATCACATGATGTTACGTGTGTCATGGCAGTGAAAAAGTTGAGAACTGCTGCTTGAGAGCTGGTGCCAAGGCCTAGAGGGACCAGGTGGTTCACACAAGCACTGAACCCTACTCTGATGCAGGGAGAGGATGTTAAGTTACCTTGGGGAAGAAATAATGACTTAAGAAGAAGCTGCTTCCTTTAGATACAATGTTTTTGTCTCTTTCTTCCCTTTCATCCCCAAAATGCCTTTTAAATGAATATTGAGTGCCTGTTTTTGTGTAGTGAATCATATATGTGGTCGTTGTTTCTATCCTATATTGGAGAAGTTAGACACATAAGTAACTATAATACAAGTTAAGGTGGGTAAAGGCTATACAAAAGCTAATGATAAAGTTAACATTATACTTGCTCCATGCCAGGCATCGCTCTCAGTACTTGTATTGATTTTAATGCTTATAACAGCTGTGTGAAATAGGTTCAAATTAATATTACCATTTTATAGAGTACGAAACCAAGTCTCAGGGAGGTTAGGTGACTTGCCTACTATCATACAGAGCCCAGGCAGTGTGACTCCAGATCCTGTGCTCTCCTGGACTGCTGTAGCAGCCAGAGCCCCATTTCCCATGTGAACATTGGAGAGGAGGGACAGGAACTAATGTTGATCTAAGGCCTACTGTTTGCCACTTCGTTTAGTCCATTTTTATAATTTCATTTAATGCTGATAGAATCTTTGTGAGTAGGTAATATTATCTTCATTTTATCATCGATGAAACTGAGAGAAAAGCATTGATGTCTTGAAGGTCACAAAGTGACTGAGCCAGGATTTAAATACAGGTTTCTTAGAAGCCAAAGCCCTGTTTATTCTATTGTATGCTATAGCTTTACAGTACCAGAATCCACACTACCCAGAGCATAGCAAGGCCAAGAGGAGCCTGCTTGGTATGACAGGTACCTGGAGCAGCCCTCAGCTCCAGTCCTGCTGGCCCAATGAGTGTTATAGGGTAAAGGTTAAGAGTGCTAGGACTAAAGTCTGAATCCCAGCTTTGCCACTTCCTAGTTGTGTGACCTAGTTATGTTGGGTAGTTAATTAACCTCTCAAAACTTCAGTTTCCTCATCTATAAAATGGGGACAATATAAACATTGATCCTATGGCTGTGGTGAATATTACATGTAATAAACACAATATTTGGTTCACAATAAATGTTCAGTAAATCTTAGTTATTAGGACTATGTGATTTTCCAAGGCTGTCCAGAGAACAAACAAAGCAAACCAGTACCTAGACTTTGAGGGAGCCGTGAACTGATGCTAGGACCAGCTGACTGAAAATCCACGAAAGCACCAAGCTCTGCTTACAGTCAGGCCCCTACCAGCTAATGCTAAAACAAGCTGTAGGTAATTTACAAGCGATATCCAAGGACCTTCCTTCCTTCCCCTGACTCTTTGCATTATCATCTAGACCACCCCAATGAGTTTTAGCTACCCCATCATTCCTTTTGGAGTCTGGCAGAGCCTCTACAGCTCAAGAGAGGCAGTGTTATGTAACAGGACACAAGCCTTGGTGTTGACAGGTCTAGGGTCATGTCCCAGCTCTACCACTTTCTCACAAGTTAGCTGAGACAGGTGAATGAACTTTCTCAAGCTTTAGATTTCCTTTTCTGTGAAATTAGAATGATTATAGTACCTGGAGGTAAGGTGAGGATGGAATGAGATAATACATGAGTACGTGCTCAACAAATGTAACTGATGTCAGCCATGTGATGCTGAGCTACCTGTGTATACTACAGGTACATTGAGAAGTCGGCAGAGGAGCTGGACGAGGAAGTAGAGTATGACATGGATGAGGAGGACTACATCTGGCTGGACATCATGAACGAGCGGCGGAAGACAGAGGGTGTGAGTCCCATCCCACAGGAGATCTTTGAGTACCTAATGGACCGGCTGGAGAAGGAGTCATACTTTGAGAGCCACAATAAAGGCGACCCCAATGCACTAGTGGACGAGGATGCTGTGTGCTGTATCTGTAATGATGGTGAGTGCCAGAACAGCAATGTCATCCTCTTCTGTGACATGTGCAACTTGGCTGTGCACCAGGAATGCTATGGTGTCCCTTACATCCCTGAGGGTCAGTGGCTGTGCCGCCGCTGCCTGCAGTCACCTTCCCGTGCTGTGGACTGTGCCCTGTGCCCCAACAAGGGTGGTGCCTTCAAGCAGACAGATGATGGACGGTGGGCCCATGTGGTGTGCGCCTTGTGGATCCCTGAGGTCTGCTTCGCCAACACAGTCTTCCTAGAGCCTATTGACAGCATTGAGCACATCCCACCAGCTCGCTGGAAGCTTACCTGCTACATTTGCAAACAGCGAGGCTCAGGGGCCTGCATCCAGTGCCACAAGGCCAACTGCTACACGGCCTTCCACGTGACATGTGCCCAGCAGGCTGGCCTTTATATGAAGATGGAGCCTGTGCGGGAGACAGGTGCCAACGGCACTTCCTTCAGCGTCCGCAAGACAGCCTACTGCGACATCCACACGCCCCCAGGTTCTGCGCGCCGCTTGCCTGCCCTGTCCCATAGTGAAGGTGAAGAGGATGAGGATGAAGAGGAGGAAGATGGCAAGAGCTGGAGCTCAGAGAAGGTCAAGAAAGCCAAGGCCAAGTCCCGAATCAAGATGAAGAAGGCACGGAAGATCCTGGCAGAGAAGCGAGCAGCAGCACCTGTTGTGTCAGTGCCCTGCATCCCCCCACACAGGTATGCCGAGCACAGGGGACAGGCAGGTGAGGGAAGAAGAAGTCCTCCTGGGGAGGAACTGAGAAGTCCCAGAGTGGAGGGGCAGGGCTGAGTTATGTTCTTTCTATCAGGATCTGCATAGAAGTAACAACAACCGAATTCCAGAAAGAGCTATCTCTAGCAGATCACCTAACTTTTACATTAGGAGCCAGAAATTTAAACCATAATCTGGTAGACCTAACAGGTGGTTTAAACTGCCCTTCATGTTGATGGTACATTTAAATTAGGTAGGAAGATTATGGGTTATCACCAGCCACAAAGGAGAAAATAAAGTATAAAGGGAGAAATGGAATGAAAAAGGGGGAAGGAAATGAAAGAATTATAAGTGGTGTCTGTCACTAATCTGGGTATGGTCATCGGTTATTTTTAACTCTCGCGCTTTTTTGATATAGTTTACTGCAGTACAATTGTGCTTTATCTTAAAACTTTCAAAGGCTTTATGTATTCTAGGGTCAAATATTACTGTGGGCTGTAGTGACATGAGAAGTCTTAGGGGCAGAACCCCCTGACCCTCTGGTATACAGGATTAGGGATGCTGGCTTAATGCTAGGAGCTTGGCTTCCTCCTACAGAGGTGCTGTTAGTGATACCCTTTGCTCCTCTTGCTATTTCACGCCTTTTTGATGAGAGACTTACTCCCTATTCAGCCTTATTCAGGAACTCTAACTGGCCATAGATCCCAGTTCTGCTTAAGAGAAGCACAGCCCAGCAGGTTTTTTTCTGTTCCCCTGCCTCCCAGGCTCAGCAAAATCACCAACCGCCTGACCATCCAGAGGAAGAGCCAGTTCATGCAGAGGCTACACAGCTACTGGACACTGAAGCGACAGTCACGGAACGGGGTCCCACTACTACGTCGTCTGCAGACACACTTACAGTCTCAGAGGAACTGTGACCAAGTTGGGGTACAGTGTCAGATTCCCTATGGGGACTGGGGATATGGGGACAAGGACAGACAGAGATTTGCTTCCAGTTTCAGAGGCTTACACTGTTTCTTCCATTAAGCTGCCTCCAAACCAGCCTCAGAATGAACACCTTAGAGGTTACCAGCTTGATGGATGGGCAGTGTTCCTATATGTTCGTTCATTCATTTACCAAGCATTTACTAAGCATATGCTCTGTCCCAGGCTCTGAAGACATGCAGATAGAGGAGTCCTCACTTTAGCTGGCAAGTCTGCCAGTAAATCATTGTGCTCCCTCCTTTGTCTTGACCTATAAATGACCCAAGTTCCCCTGGGCTCTCTACCCTCTCCAGCCTTTCCTCTGGCTCCCTTGCCATTTTCTGATCTCCTTTTTGCTTCTGCAGAGAGATTCTGAGGATAAAAACTGGGCCCTTAAAGAACAGCTCAAGTCCTGGCAGCGGCTCCGGCATGATCTAGAGCGAGCTCGACTGCTAGTAGAACTGATCCGCAAGCGGGAGAAACTCAAAAGGGAGATGGTGAGTGCTCCTGAGCCAGGCCTATTTTCCAGAGGAGAAAACAGATGCAGAAAAAGGAAAACAAGTCCCAAAGCCAGGTGACAAATAGGGCTGATGCTAGGGTCACGTCTCCTGGCTCTCACTGATGCTAGAGTGCACATCTCCTGCACTCAGGCCTACCAGAAGCAGGATGTTACGAGAGAGTATGAACAAACCCTAAATTATGTGCTGAGAGTTCGGGAAGGGGAAGGCCAGAGTAATTGGGAAAAATTTCACTGGGTGAGGCCTTAAAGAATGGTACACCTGACTGAGTCCACTGGCTGGGGAGGTGGGCAAGAAGGTGAGTTCCCAAGCCAGCCTGGGACCATCTCCTCAGAGACCTCTGCTAAGGCCAGGCTGACAGAGCCTATGTGTGTGTCAGATCAAGGTCCAACAGATCGCCATGGAGATGCAGCTGACCCCTTTCCTCATCCTTCTTCGCAAAACCTTAGAACAGCTCCAAGAAAAGGACACAGGCAACATCTTCAGCGAGCCGGTCCCTCTGTCTGAGGTAACCGAATTGGATGAAGTAAGAATCTCTTCCCCTCACTCCAACTTCTTTCTGTTCCTCTCCTAGTTGGACCCCCCTGCTGCAGGTCTGGGCCAGGGTTTTGAAGAAGGGTGGTGGCTGTGGGGCAGGATGATCTGGAGCCATGCAGTGCATCACCTGGACTCTGTCTTGTCCTTGTCACACCCCAAGGGCCCAGAATGGGAGGCAATCTGCACTCCTTCCCCAGAGGCAGGGACAGAGTCTGCCAAATGAATAATCCCAGGGCAGGAAGACACTTTCGGGGTGCTGAACCCTAGAATGGAGACTTTAGAAGGCTCAGCACCTAAAGAACCAGCTCTGAAGTCCTAGGTCCTGACTGGCAGACTCTTCTCTTTAAAAGGTATAAAATGAGAGGTCTGAAGCAGCAGCCTCCTTACGATAATAGTAAAAATACGAGGAAGTATTATTTCTAGAGGATTCTGCTAGCCATTTTCTTACTGAAATCTCACATGACTCTGTAAGGTAGATTTGGCTGTATTTTCATCACCTTTTTCCAGAAAAGAAGGCCAGAAGAAGTTAGGAGATTTGCTAAGGTCACACAGCGTGTGGCTGGTAAAGTCAGAACTAGAATCCAGCTCTCTTTTCCCCTGTGCTATATGCCTACCTCTAACTGTGGTGGGAGGAGGTTGCTAGATGCATTTTTGCAGGATTTGTTAGGAGCAGGGGTTCAGGAGAAGTTAGGGGCCTATCTCCACTTACCCACACCTGCCTTGCTCTCCCAGGTGCCTGACTACCTAGACCACATCAAAAAGCCCATGGACTTTTTCACCATGAAACAGAACTTGGAGGCTTACCGCTACCTGAACTTTGATGATTTCGAGGAGGACTTCAACCTAATCGTCAGCAACTGCCTCAAGTACAATGCCAAGGACACCATCTTCTACCGGGCAGCAGTGAGGCTCCGTGAGCAGGGTGGTGCTGTGCTTCGCCAGGCTCGGCGCCAGGCAGAAAAAATGGGCATTGACTTTGAGACGGGCATGCATATCCCCCACAGCCTGGCTGGAGATGAGGCCCCACATCACACTGAAGATGGTGGGTGATAAGTCACACACACATATATACACATACAGGCCAATGCCTGGGATGGACAGCTTCCCAAAAGTCCTGGGAGTACTCAGTGTAGGCAGGAAGCAGCTAGGCTGAGCAGTGGCAAGTTATTCCCAGGAATGCTCCAGTCAGACTGGGTGGATGGATGGCAGTGCTCACCATTCTACATCTTGGTGCTGCCATTTTACAGCTGTTCCGGGTGAGAAGCTGAGGTGTGAACAGTCCGAGTTTCTTACTGTCTGCCCAGGTTTAGGGGGCCCAGAGGGCTGCCCTGAGTCTGACCTTTACCCTCCATCTCTCACCCATTACAGCAGAGGAAGAGCGTCTGGTTCTGCTGGAGAACCAGAAGCACCTACCAGTGGAAGAGCAGCTGAAGTTGCTGCTGGAACGACTGGATGAGGTGAATGCTAGCAAGCAGAGCGTTGGACGCTCACGGCGTGCAAAGATGATAAAGAAAGAGATGACAGCACTACGGCGGAAGTTGGCCCACCAGCGGGAGACTGGACGGGATGGGCCTGAGCGGCATGGCCCCTCAAGCCGGGGCAGTCTGACACCCCACCCGGCAGCCTGCGACAAGGACGGGCAGACAGACAGTGCCGCTGAAGAGAGCAGCAGCCAGGAGACAAGCAAAGGTCTGAACCCCACAGCAAGCTGGACCCCAAAGCAAGCCAAACTGGCTCTCCAGCGCATACCCAGCTCCTGTCATCCCCAGGCAGAGGTCCCTCCTGCAAAGCTAGCTGCGTTTTCTCTCTCCTCCCCAATCAGGGACTCTTAGCTGCCTCCCGCTATGTGTATAAGAGGACAATATTCCCTATTCTGTGCCCCCAAGATCATCTCCCAACTCCAGCTGGAGTAATGGTCCTGTGTGATGCTAGACATCTACCCTTTCTGCATGAGACCCTTCACCAACTCTCCTTCTCTCTTTGCTCCAGGCCTGGGTCCCAACATGTCCTCAACCCCCGCACATGAGGTGGGCAGGAGAACCTCAGTTCTGTTCTCCAAAAAGAACCCGAAGACAGCTGGACCGCCCAAGAGGCCAGGCCGCCCCCCAAAAAACCGGGAGAGCCAGATGACCCCCAGCCACGGAGGCAGTCCTGTGGGGCCCCCCCAGCTTCCCATCATGGGCTCCCTGCGTCAGCGCAAGCGGGGTAGGAGCCCCCGACCCAGTTCGAGCTCAGACAGCGACAGTGATAAGTCCACAGAAGACCCCCCTATGGGTGAGCCTCACCATCACCCAGCCCCCCAAGACAGCAAAGCTGTCTTTCTCCCCAACATAACTGCCAGATAATACCTTTATTATTTGCCTATAAAATGTCAGAATTAGAAGGGCCTTTAGGAATCCTTTAATTCAATCCCCTAATTTTACAAATGGGAAAACAGGCCCAGAGATGCTGACCCAGCCAGATTTCTCATCCCAAGGCCCCCTTCCATTTTATTACTTCAGTTTTTCTCTCCTTACCCTCCTTGGGGATCCTGCTTTTTAAGCCATTTGTGTTATTAGGCCAGTCACTGCCAAGGGAAGTATGAGGGGTGAGGCAGGGCTGTGCCAACTATAGTGGACACTGCCCAGGGCTAGCTCTGTTGGCCAAGGTTGTAGGATGTTTCCAGCACAGGGGGAAGCCCAAGTTTAAGTCCCTACTACCACCACGCCACCGCTGATCTGCATCTTCCTGACTTTCTTTCCCTCCTCTCCCTCGCCCCAACCAAGACTTACCAGCTAATGGCTTCAGCAGTGGGAACCAGCCAGTGAAGAAGAGTTTCTTGGTATACCGTAATGACTGCAGCCTTCCCCGGAGCAGCTCAGACTCTGAGTCCAGCAGCAGTAGCAGCAGCAGCGCTGCCTCAGACCGGACCAGGTACTAGCCCTCTAGATCAAGGCCTGCCTCTTGGTGTCCTTTTAGGGCTCACAGTGTCTCCAGGTTTCCCTGCTGGAAGTGGGTGGTAGCCATCTCAGTCTACATTCAAATGGCTCAAACCCAGGGTTCTCTGCGAATTAAATGGGATAGATCAGGGTGTCACTATAATGGAACTGAGGGAACCATCCTAGATCAAGCTGATGGTTTGTGGTAGAGGGTGTCATCAACTGGTGCCCTTTGGCCTGGAGACATGTTTTTTAGGCCAGCATGTTCTTTTAAAAAAAGTAATCAGGGACTGCCATGAAAAATTCCCAATCTCTGTTTTCTCTTTTAAAAATTAGAAGATCTGGTGAATCTGACCAGTATGGCCAAGTGTTATTCAGGTTGGAGCTGAGTATTATCTGCTGCCTTTGATGAGGCATGTACTCGTCCCTACCACTGTTATACTGTTGAAACCAGGCCATTTCTTTAGTTACATCATCAGCCTGGCTCCTGAGAGTATTTGAATTTGAACTTCCTTGTGTAGCCTCTGCTTTCCAAATATCTAGGACCTCGGGGGCTTAAAGAGAAGACACCTACCATACTACTCCTCACCCCTTCCCCTTTCTTGAGCTGAGCTCCCACTGTTCTGCCCATAGCACAACACCCTCAAAACAAGGCCGAGGCAAGCCCTCCTTCTCTCGGGGCACCTTCCCAGAGGACAGCAGTGAGGATACCTCAGGCACTGAGAATGAGGCCTACTCCGTGGGTACTGGCCGCGGCGTGGGCCACAGCAGTAAGTACCCTCACCCAAGGCCAGGGATGCCCGGGGCCCACTGTCAGGGCCTCGCCAGTCCCCCAGCTGCTGATCCGACCCCTCTTTCCCATTCCTGTGAAGTGGTGAGGAAGAGTCTGGGCCGGGGAGCTGGCTGGCTGTCGGAGGATGAGGACTCCCCTCTGGACGCTCTGGACCTTGTGTGGGCCAAATGCCGAGGGTATCCATCGTACCCAGCTCTGGTAGGCTTCCCCTTGTCCTATCCTGCCCCTTGCCTTTTAATCCCTTAACGCAGGACTCAAAACAAGCAGATTGTCTTAACCGCTGCTGAACTGCAGAGCATAGGAGTCCCTGGCAGACAGACTGATGGGTAGATGCCGCTTGAGTACAATTTAGAGGGCCCTCCAATCAATTCTCCATCTTTCCCTTTTCTGTCTCCTTGCCCCTTTGGCTGTGGAACAATTTGGCATGGAAAAAAGCCAAAAGATAGCGTTGCAGCCTTAGCAGTTTGATAACCTTTGTTTGTCCCTACTTCAGAGGTAGTCTCCACATTCTTGGACAGGCCAGATCTTGGGGAGGAAGTGGACTGAACCAAACTAGACTCTTATTGCACCCTCAGATCATTGATCCAAAGATGCCCCGGGAGGGTATGTTCCACCATGGGGTTCCCATTCCTGTGCCCCCACTGGAGGTGCTGAAACTTGGGGAGCAGATGACCCAGGAAGCCCGAGAGCATCTCTACCTCGTCCTCTTCTTTGACAACAAGCGAACCTGGTAAGGGAGCAGAGGAACATTTGGTGTGCCTCACAGCCACAGATGCAACCCCATGTGGTTGCTGGAAACTCCAGCAACAGACAGACTGGGCTATTACTCTTCAGTGGGGAAGGGAATTAGAACAGATCTTTGAGCTAAAGAATTGTATTGACCAGGAGTCTAAGAAGCTGTGTGGGTAGCAGTTGGCAAAGAGCTGTAGCAGGAAACCAGAGTACCATCAATGACTGGGGGTGGTTCCCCGCCTAGACTCAGATGGCTTCTAGACTGAGTTTTCCCACCTCTGCCTCCATGGTGACAAAATGGGGATAAAGCAGGCATAAACACTCATATTTATATATCTAGTCTTTTTGTTAATTGTCTAATGGCAGTGTTAGTAAAGTCTGCCTGGAGCCTATAGGACAGTGTACCTATTTCAAGTTAAGTCAGGGCTCCTCCTTTTTGTGCCCATAAATACCTTGTGGTTACCCCCTAGTGTGACTATTGACTGGGCTCTCTTCATCACTAGTCTGTGAGCAGGAACTGTGTCTATTGGTGTCTGTAATCCCAGTGCCACAGAACCTGGCCCAGTGTTGGTGCTCAGATGGTATGTTTAATGAATGAAGGCATAAGGAAGACTGGTGCTTCTTGTTCTCCCTGACATGGTTTTTTTGATCCTCACCTCATCCTACAGGCAGTGGCTACCCAGGACCAAGCTGGTTCCTCTGGGGGTGAACCAGGACCTGGACAAGGAGAAGATGCTGGAGGGCCGCAAATCTAACATCCGGAAGTCAGTGCAGATTGCCTACCACAGAGCTCTGCAGCACCGCAGCAAGGTGCAGGGCGAGCAGAGCAGTGAGACCAGTGATAGTGACTGATGCTGCCCAGTACAGCCCAAGCCACAGTGCCCTGTGACTTCTCTCCTCCCTTCTGCTCACTATCCTGGAGTGGCACCAGCCTCTGCACTGACTCATTCCTGGTCTTGGGGCCAGTCTCAGGGGAAGCTGGGTGGGGGAGGTCCCTCCCGCTCTGAGTGCAGCTGGACTGTACAGAACACTCCAAGGGCCCATGGTGGCTCTGGGCAAGTAGAGGGGTGGTCCCACAGGCCAGAAAGAATCCCAGAGACCTCATGGCATTATAGGGCATGGTGGTGGGCCAAGGTTAGGACACTGCATAAAACAGGCCATCCCACCTCCTCTGTCTACTTGTGCCAGGAGAATCAGTAACTGCCTAGAGGCCTGAGGCCCCTGCAAATGGTGAGGTGAGCGGGCATCTGCCCAGCATAGCAGTGGAATTGATGTCTGTCCAGCCTGGAAGAGGGGCACTAGGTGACCCCCTCCCCTGCTGTTGTAAATACTGTAATTAGTGGAGAATTTAAATTATTCTCATTTGTAACTGCGTTTCCGGGTCGCGCCAGAGTCATTTGGTACTAAAAAGCCTGGGGCCTGTCCCCACTTCCCTTCTCCTTCCCATAGACCCCAATCACCACCACCACCTTTCAAACTGGTTTGTATTTATTTCGAAGGAAGAAAATATATTGATTCTTAGAAAATAAATGGTCTATTTGGAATTCTTGGTTCTTCTGCCAGGGAAAAGGGGAAAAAACCGAGGTCTGTCCCCCAGGGATGGTAAATAATTAGGCCCAAGTGGTTGCTGGCTGCTATGCATGCTGCCATTTGTAAGACAACAGCAAAGATAATAGCTTCCACTTCTATCCACTTAATAAATGGCAGGCCCTGTGCTAAAGCATCTTAAAATACACAAGCTTATGTAATCCTTGCAATAACTGTATGGGAAGGTTAATAATAGGTTGGTTATCCCCACAAAGACACTGAGGTTTAGAAAAATTAAATAACTTGCCTAAGTTCCCACATCTAGGAAGTTGCAGAACTAGGATTTAAACTCCCAGTTGTTTGAACTACTAGAAGAGTCAACTGCAGATTCCTATGTGGATTTCAGATACTTCAAGTTCTTTGTCAGTAGGAAGGCACAAATGCTTCAAGTCACGCTATAGCTATGCATATTAAGACTATAAACCAAAAACCCCCAACTCACTGAGTGTTGGATTGATTTCCGATTCATAGAGACCCCCATGGGGTTTCTGAGGCAGTAAATCTTTACTGATGTAGATTGCCCAGTCTTCCTTCTGTGGAGTGGCTAGTGGGGTTTGAACTGCCAGCCTTCTGGTTAGCAGTCCAATTCCTTAGGCACTAAACCACCAGAGCTCCTTTATAGAAGGCTGCTTTTCATTCATTCCAAACCTTGGTACCTTCTATTGCCATTCAACCAACATTTATTGAACAAACATCTTCTGAGTGCTAGACACTGGGGAGGGTGTGCCTGTAAGTGACACAATCACAGGAAAGAGTTAATTGCCTAAGGCCTTGCAGCTACTGAGTAGAACAGAGACAACCAGTTTGATGATCTCTTCACAACACCATGAGAAGTGCTGTGGGACACAGATCTTGCCTTTAAAAAACTTGCAGTTTAATCATTCATATACAACAACCAGGTATCACTGATGGTGAAAAATAATCCAGAGAAAGTTCAATTTTGCTAGGAGCTCTGGTAGCATAGTGCCTAAGGCACTTGACTGCTAACCAGAAGGCTGGTGGTTCAAACCCACCAGCCACTCCTCGGAAGGAAGGTTGGGCAATCCTACTTCCATAGTGATACTGCCTCGGAAACCCAAGGAGGGGTCGCTATGAGTCGGGGCTGACTCGACGGCAAATAACAACAACAACAAATGTGACTATTTTGTCTTCAAGGGAAGAAATAAGAGAATATACCTTTCCTAGGCCTAAATAGCCGGCATTGGCAACTGGGCTACACTGGTTCAGGGCCACACATTTTTCCTGGGGACTTAAAACCAAGGCTCAAAGTAAAGAGCTGCTTGCCTGGGCCCGGCCCCAGAGGAAGCCCCTACACAGGCCCCATTTAACGTACGAGTGTGATTCCCAGAAGAGACAGGCCTCTGAAGATCTGTCTATGGAGGCAGACTAAGCAAGCTTATCAGGTGAGCGCTGAGGGCAGAATCCTCAGGAGAGACGCCGTGGAGACGCTTCACGTGGAGACGCTTCACGAGCACTCCGAGGGGACGAAGCTGTGTTTGTGTCCAATTCTTGAAGACGCTTCATGAGAGAGGCGCACTGAGAGCAAATATCTGAGATCGAAGACTCACTAGGTGGAGAAAGGCTGAGGCCTTACAGAACGGACTGGGAGCAGGGCTTGCCCTGAGGACCTACATTCCTTGAAGGATCGAAGGCGCACAATCTGCTCGCGGTCCTCTGGGATTCGGTGACAGGACACTCTAGGGGGCCGAGTGCAGACGACTCCGAGGCGGAAAGACCAATAGCGGACAGCAAGCCCAAAAACCGCCAACCGCTTAGGCGTCTGGGAAAGGCCGGCACGTTCACCCCCACGCCCTATGACTCGTTGGCGCTTCTCACTGCCTCCTCGGATTGGCTACCTCTGGATCAAATAGGCGGGGCTTGAATAGTATTTCCGGTAAAAGCTAAGCCCATGGCGAAGGCGAAAAAGTGCGCTTTTACTCGCTTCCGATAGTCTGGGGAGGTCAAATGACCGTGGTGCGCGCTCGGAGGCCATGGGAGGCGGGGCATGGAAACGTAAAGAAGGTTGGAACCAGTACGCCAGGAATGCTGGAAGCTGGGGAAAAGAGGTGGGAAAAAAGCTGGAGGGGCGGGGCTTTCGGGGGCCTGCAAGGAGTGGAGGAATGAAATTTAACTGGGCGGGGCCTTGAGTTGGGCGAGGCCGTAGGGGCGGGTCATGTGTGGGCGGGGTCCTAGGGTGGCCAGTTCCTCCAGTTCTAAGAGGGCGGGGCCGTTAGGAGTCGGAGCCTTGTGAGTGAATGTGTCCATTCACTTCTGCCCAGTAGCATGGGTCATCGTACTCTAGCCTCCACCCCTGCCCTCTGGGCCTCCATCCCCTGTCCACGTTCTGAGTTGCGCCTGGACCTGGTTCTGGCTTCTGGACAGTCCTTCCGGTGAGTGACTGCACCTGGGAGCCCCTCCTCTGGAACCCTGGATCCTGGCTTTTCCTGGAGTGTGCAAAGGAATGTTGGGGGTGGTGAGAAACCTCAGTGTGCAAACGAGAAAACAGGCACTTTGCTTTAGAAAGTAGAGATAATAAGCTTTTGAACAGTGTTGTGCGGATTAAGAGAGAACCAATGTACTTTTATTTTGCAATTAGTAAATTAATTTTGTAAATGGAATGGATGTTAGATGGGAGGGAAAGGAAAAGATGCTAGAAGGGAAACTGAGTACTAGGGTTGTGCCTGGGGCTCAGGTGGAGAGAGCAAAGCCCTGCGCACTGGAGTGGCGTGCTGGGGGACCAAGTATGGACATTGACCCAGACGGAGGAGCACCTCTACTGTACGGTGTACCGAGGGAACAAGAGCCAGGTCGGCAAGCCTACGCTAGAGGAGCTACAGGCTGTACGCCGGTACTTCCAGTTGGATGTCAGTCTGGCTCAACTGTATTACCATTGGGGTTCTGTGGACCCCCACTTCCAAGAGATGGCCCAGAAATTCCAAGGTGAGTACAGGACCTAGGCGAGCATTGGGGTTCTTATACTTTGGTCAAACTACTTCTGTGACTCAGTTTTCCCATCTGTAAAACGAAGATTGATGGGGCAATGGTGATTGGTTCAGTGATAGAATTCCCGCCTTCTATGTGGGAGGTTCATTTCGGTGAGTGCATCTTAAGTGCAGCCACCACTCTTCCGACAGTGGAAATGTGCATGTTGCTATGATGCTGAACAGGTGTCAGCAGAGTTTCCAGACTAAGACAGACTAGCCAATGAAAACCCTGTGGTTCACAGTCGTCAGATCTGCAGCCAGTCATGAGGATGGCTCATGAATAGGCAGCATTTTGATCCATTGTGCTGGAGCTTGCCATGGTTGGGGGTTGACTCATTAGCTAGCAACAACAAAATGGAGATTAAACCTACCTGTTAGTATTTTATGAGGATGTAAAGTGCTTAGAATAGTGCTTGGCACATATTAACTACTATTATTATTACTACTGTTACTCTGCTGATCACCATAGTGGAGGGACTAATCTACTGAACCAAATCCCAACTGTGTAACCTAGAGCAGGTAGCTCATTCATTCTTCAAATATTAACAGAGCATCCGCTATATGACTACAGATACAGCAATGATCAAAACAGCCATAAATCCCTGCTTTGTGCTTATATTGGGCTTCTTCATCTGTGGAATGGCATGAATATCCAGACCTCACAACATGCTATGAAGAATGAGAGAGGTCTGGTGTTGCTTTCTCTAACAGTGAACCCACTGCCATCTGACTCATAGCGACCTGACAAGTCATTCTGACTCATAGTGACCCTATAAGGCAGAGTAGAACTGCCCCATAGGGTTTCCAAGGCTGTAAATCTTGGATTACAAGATTGTAATCCCTAAATCCCTTTGATTTCAGGCAGCAGACTGCTTCATCTTTCTCCTGCACAGTGACTGGTGGATTTGAACCACCGACCTTTTGGTTAGCAGCCCATTGCCTTAACCACTGCACCACCAGAGCTCCTTTACTTCTCTGACAAAACTGTCCCTCATTTCCTGGGATTCCCTTGGAGCCTTGGTGCCTAGGATTTTTGGGTGGGAAGAGACTACTCCCAATAGCAGGTGTTTCTCCTACTTCCTACCTTTCTGTCCCTTAGGAGTACGGCTTCTACGGCAGGACCCCATCGAGTGTCTTTTCTCCTTCATCTGTTCCTCCAATAACAATATCACTCGTATCACTGGCATGGTGGAGCGGCTCTGCCAGGCCTTTGGACCTCAACTCATCCAGCTCGATGATGTCACCTACCATGGCTTCCCCAGCTTGCAGGCTCTGGCTGGTGAGTGGGTGGGTCCCTTGCTCCATGGCCCACCATCAGCTTTCCTTGCTCACCATCTCTCACCTCAGAGCTTCCCACCTACCCAAAACTGCTATCATCCAGAATCACCCTGCCTATTCTGGTCAGCTCCAGTTACACCTCATCTTCACAATTTTTCCCTAAAATGCTAGTAACTCGTTAATCTGTGATTTGGGCCCCATGGTTCAATGCTTATCAGAAAAAAAAAAAAAAACATTACCAACATCCATATACAATATACCGTGTGTAGTGCAAAATTAAGAATATGGGCCCTGGAGACAAACTGCTTGGCTTGAATACTAACTCTGCTACTTGACTGCTATGTGACCTTGAAGGAGCTCTGGTTGCATAGTGCCTAAGGCACTTGACTGCTAACCAGAAGGCTGGAGGTTCAAACCCAGCAGCCACTCCTCGGAAGGAAGGTTGGGCAATCTACTTCTGTAGTGATGTTGCCTTTCGGAAACCCAAGGAGGGGTCACTATGTGTCGGGTCCGACTTGACAGTATATAATAACAACAACAACATGTGACCTTGAACACATTATTTAGCCTCCATGTACCTCAGTTTTTTCATCTGTGAAATGGGATAATAGCTCCTATTAGTGTCCAGAGTTGTCATGAAGGTCATATAAAAGAATGCACATATTGTACCTAGCACAGCATGTGGCATGTGGGAAAAATGTAGCAATTTCAAGCTGCCATCTTTGTAGCAAACCTAGCAATTCTGTATCCAAGAACACACATGTTCTTCACAGCAGCCTGGTGAGGCAAGTATTCTACAGAAGCAAGTAAATCAGTTGACAGATGTGAGACCCAAGCAAGGGGAAATGCTGAGGACTGCATAGCAAAAAGACAGCCTGTCTCAGGGAAAGAACATGGTTTTGCTGCCTGCAAACCCAGTCATGAGTCTGAGCCCCCATCTTTGTTGTTGTTGTTGTTATGTGTCCTTGAGTCAAACCCGACTCATAGCAACCCCTCCTTGGGTTTCCGAGGCAGTATCACTATGGAAGTAGATTGCCTAACCTTCCTTCTGAGGAGTGGCTGGTGGGTTTGAATGGCCAGCCTTCTGGTTAGCAGTCATGTGCCTTAGACACTATGCTACCAGAGCTCCTAGCCCCCATCTTAGTAGTTATAAGATCTCAAGTTATAAGATCACTTCTCTAAGCTTCTCGTTTGTAGAGTAGAGATAAGTATTTCTCTCTGGGGGCATTTTGGGGTAGAATTAAGCAACTGTGAGGCAGTGTAGTGCACAGGCATTGGTGTCCTAGAGCGGGGTACAAGATCCCATCTCCAACATGTCCTTTCTTGAGCAAATTCCTTAACCTCTTCTAAGCCCTCATTTTCTCTATGAAATGGGAAACACAACAGTGTTATTCTTAGGATCCTTGAGAAAAGTAAGCATTCACAAACCTAAAGCACTTTGCCCATGTATAACATCTAGCACCTGATAATGGAAACTGCTGTTGTTGTTATTACTTTAGATCATGGGTATGAAAGCTCTTTGTAAAGGGTAAAAGCTTAACTGGGGAGCTCCTCATGGCAGCAAGTCCTCCGGGCCCTGCTCCAGTGCCCAGCTCACAGTACATGCTCAGAAAACACCTGTTGCAGATCCCAAGCTTTAGCCCTTCCCTTTGCACATACAAGTGTCCACTGTCTCCCAAGGTGCTTAGAAAAAGCATTTCTGTGGGAGACAGGACAGGGAAAATGTGAGGATGCCTGACTTCTCCTTTCCTTCCCAATCTCCACAGGACCCAAGGTGGAGGCCCACCTCCGGAAGCTGGGCCTGGGGTACCGTGCCCGCTACGTGAGTGCCAGTGCCCGAGCTATCCTGGAAGAACAGGGTGGGCTGCCCTGGCTGCAGCAGCTGCGTGAGGCCCCCTACGAGGATGCCCACAAGGCCCTCTGCACCCTGCCTGGGGTGGGCACCAAGGTGATGCTCCAGATGTGAGAGCTGCCTTCACCACCCACACTGAGTAGAGATGGGGCAGGCCTGAGAGCTGGGTAGAGGCTTTGCTTCTGGAAACAGAAAAGGAAGGAGATAGGCCACAAGAACATGTTTTAATAAAGAAGAATAGCAGAGTGCTAGAAGGGTATTGAATGCATTTTAGAAAGGCCATTTATTCAGATGAATATATATCCTGGTGTCTCTGGTGGCACAGTGCCTAAGGCATTTGACTGCTAACCAGAAGGTCGATGGTTCAAACCCACCAGCTGCTCTATGGAAGGAAGATGGTGCAATCTACTTCCATAAAGATTTACCACTATAGAAACTCAGTCACTATGAGTCAGAACTGACTCAACGGTAGTGGGTAAATATGTATGCAGAAATGTTCAAATAGGAATTGCAGGAAGATTAATAATGATTATCTTTAGAGAGAGATATGATGTTTCTACTTTTCATTTTATTTTTTTCTTTAATTTACATGTACAGAGTACTTAGAAAACTTGTTTAATGTCAAGTTATCTTGCAATTGGTATATGATTGAGAATTTAGCATCTGTTATTTTTTCTTTTTACTTCCCTATAATTTAAAAAATGAATTATTCTTTAAAGAAAATTTTAATGGGTTCTCTATGACTTTGGACAAGTCATTTCACCTTTCAGAGCCTCAATTGTCTGTAAAATGGATGGGCAAATACCTTTGTCCTAGGTTATGTGGAGAGCTCAGCTCACATAGGTGCTCACTCAGTAGCAGATGTCATCATAGCTTTTTTAAAAGTTATTAATAGATAGTGTATATTGATTGAAGGAATCTTCAAGTAGTACAAATACTTAACACACTGAACTGCTGACCAAAAGCTTGCAGGTTCACATCTACCCAGAGGTGCCTTGGAAGAAAGGCCTGGCAATCTAACTTCAAAAAATCAGCCATTGAAAACCCTATGTACAACAATTACTATATATTAAAATTAAGAGGAAAAAAAAAAGGACAGACTTGCTGCTTAGGCTAATTATGTACAACCAAAAACCTTATGAGATTTGGTTTCTTGGTTTGGTGGTTTAGTATCATGGTTTCATGGGACATCCCAGTTGATTAGCCTAATAACATGTTTAGTGCTTCTTTTCTACCTCCTAGCTCAATGTGTAGTGCCTGGGTTCGTAAAAGCTTGTAAGCACCCATCCAAAGCACAATTGGTCTATCTCTATTCACCTGGAACAACAGAGAAAGGGGACTCAGGAATAAAAAGGAGGAAATGGAATGAATGGCTAACCGCCTCCGTGAACAACTGCCTTATTTGCTATGAGACCAGAACTGTATGGTGCTCGGCTACCATCACTGAACAGTTTGATCAGAGATCCCATAGAAAAATCCCGATCAAAAAAGGGAAAATGTAGAACAGATTTTTAAAATTCTCACGGACTCTCAACTTTCTGAAGCCATAAAGGTTGGGTGATCCCCTGAAATTACTGCCCTGAAATAATCTATAAACCCTAAACCAAAAATACCCCTGAAATCTTCTTAAAACCAAGCAATAGTTTACTTAGCTTAACTTGTAAAAAATTTCTGCCTTGAGCATTATGCTTTTGTGAGAACTATGTATCTATATGGGATCGTATTGATGACAACAACTCTAGATAAGGACCTTAGGGAGCACTGAATTTATGTAAATGGGGGGAAGAACAGCTCAGAAAATGAGGTTGCACACCTCAAAGAATGTGGTCAGTGTCACTAAATAGTACATGTAGAAACTGTTGTGGTGTATGTTTTGCTGTTTATATTCAACAACAACAAAATTAATAAATTATAAATTAAAAAAACCCTATGGAGTAGTTTTATTCTGACACACATGGGGTTGCCATGAGTCAGAACTGACTCAATAGCAAGTGATTTTTCATATTGGTTAAGAATGTGGAATAATAATAACCTCAGAGTGGAGGAAGAAGCAGCTGGTGCTTAGGGATAAAAGCAGGATGCTGGCTGGATCCTGCCACTCAGCCTCAGTGGCTAACTCTGTATCTGTCAAAGGTGGCTGACTGCATCTGCCTGATGGCCCTAGACAAGCCTCAGGCTGTGCCTGTGGACGTCCATATGTGGCAGATCGCCCAATGTGACTACAGCTGGCACCCCACCACAAGCCAAGCCAAGACTCTGGGCCCCCTGGCCAACAAGGAACTGGGTGAGGACAGAAGAGTGGGATGTTGGGACTGGCAGTGGGGTTGAGGTGGGACAAACCTCTCACCTTCTTGGTTACCTCTTCTTAAATCCCATATTATCTGTATGTGAGGAGCAGGGAGAAAGGCACCAATTAATTTAGATTTATCACTTCTGGTTTAGGAAACTTCTTCCGGAGTCTATGGGGACCTTATGCTGGCTGGGCCCAAGCGGTGAGTGTACCCAGGTTCCCCTTGCCTTCCACCCATTAATCCAGACCCCATAGGATTTATCCTCCAGACTTGAATAAGTAGACTATTCTAGCAACTCAACCCTGATCCCTATGGACTCTTCTACCACCATGTAGTGACCCTAAAGGACCAGCCACCCAGACCTGACCCAGTCCCAGTTGATTCTTATTGCCCCTGGCCCTGTTTCCCATGGGCTCTTCTACCTCCTCACACTGCCACCAGCCCTGACCCCAGTATACCTCCCTCCCCACATTAACTCCTTGCCCCTACAGGTGTTGTTCTGTGCCGAACTGCGCCGATCCCACCATACTCAGAAGCCACCAGTAAAGCGTAGAAAGACGTCCAAAGGGCCAGAAGATTAAGTGGAGGCACTGGACAATGGAATCCCCAAACACTTTTCTTCATTGGTCTCCCTCTTCCCACCCAGGCGCATGTTGGAGAGAGGGCTCCCTACAGCTACCTCAGAGTCCAGGTACCCCCAAATCAAGCAGTCAGTTTGCACAACAGGGTTTGGTGGGGGCTGTCTGGAGAGAGAGAGCTACCTATGGTTTTATCCTCTTCCCTTTATTACAAGAAGGAACAATAAAATAGAAACATTTGTATGGAAAATGCAGTGGAGGGAAGGGAATGGGAGGTGGTGGGGCAGGATAACTCCCCAGTCAAGAAGGGAAGGGGAGCAGACTGTCCCCCAATCCTTCCCAGGCAGGGGATCCTGACCCTAGCTCCAGGGCCTAGAGTTGGGGGGGCAGTGTAGGGGCAAGTTCTGGACCTGGCTCCACACAGCAGTCTCGACAGCAGCAGCCAGCCGCCGACCCTAGTACAAGAAGAGAAAACAGAGTTGGCTGCAGGGACAGACCCTTTGCTCCAGCCTGGGTGCCTCTGCATGGACTACCCAGGTCCTCCCACAGAGCCCCAGTCCTCACCCCCAGCTGCCAGTGGCAGCAGCTCCCCATGGCTCGGCATCTGTCCCTGCCCCTCCTGGCTGGTGCCCAACTGCAGCTTCCTCATGTGCCGCACCACAGCTGTGGCGTTGAAGGCTTGCTGTGGGGAGAGAGGGAAGAGGGGGCTTTTGAGTGAGTGGGGGATCATGGGGCACGGGCTGACAGTGGGATTAGGGCAGTGCTTCTGTTATTTTTATTCAGGGGTTTACTGATCCCCTAAGACCCTACAAGCCTCTCTACAAGGCTTTAGTAAATTATATTCAATCATATTATGTATTTGAACATACATAAAAATATTTCTAAACAGATACATAACTGTATAATTAATTCATATTTATACATAATAGCAAACATACAGCATTAACTGTCAGGCACTGCTCTAAGCATTTTATGTAATAATTTATTTAATCTTCACAAGACTCTTTGAGGTAAGCACTATTAGTATTACCATTTTCAAAGGAGGAAATTGAGACACAGAGGTTAAATAACTTGCCCAGGTGTGGGTGTGTGTGTGTGTGTACCTTTTTCTGTTCAACATATTCCACAGGTCCCTCAAATCACTATGTCCAAATCTAAAACCATCCTCCTGAGTTCTGTCTGTCCCTGGGGTCTCCAATCCTGTAACTACTTTCTGTGACTAGTTCTTGACATCTCTTCCTCTCTCCACCAATATCCGTTCCATCATCACATCTTGTCAGTTCTACCTCCTTGATAGTCAACCACTGTTCTCTATTCCTGTTGCTACTGCTTGGTCTAAGCTCCTATTGATACTGCCTCCTACTGGGTCTCCTAGTCTCCACTCCATGGCACTCTGCATCCTGAGAGCCCTTTCAACAGGGAAATGCCTGATTTAAATCCTTTTTGGGCTCCTCAGCTCCCCAGGATCAATACATTGTTCTCCTGTGGCATTCAAGGACCTGAATGGCCAGGCCCTTGCCAGCCTGTGTAGCCTCGGTTCCTGCCCCTCACCCCCTTATCTCCTCCATTCAAGCAGGCTCAGCACTTGTACTTCTGAATGTCCTCACTTTCTTGACCCTGGCCCTGTGCACACTTGTTCTCTCTGCCTCACATATTATCCTGCTTTCCTTGGCTAATTCCTACTCAACTATTAGGTCTGATCTTACATACCACCACCTGTATGACTCTTCCTGGACCTCTTAGCCTTGATTAGATGCCCCCTTAAGAATTATAGACTATTCTCCCTCTAGATTTGGAGGGCAGGGATCATCTGGAATGGAATAGGTATCTGTGTTTGGTGAATGAATAAGGGCCTTCAGTCAGCATCTCTGAGCAGTTACTGTGTGCCCAAATTGGTGCTAGGTGTGTGTAATCTGTGGCCTGGATGGAGGGTCAGGGGAGTCTGGAACCCAGGATTAAGGACGTGGTCTCACCTTCCATTTGCTCTTGGCAAAGTTCTTCTTGATCTGCTCGCTCACTGACTGATGGATATTCTTATCTAGAGCCGTATCCCCTGCAATCCTAGGATGGGGTATGTGGAGGGGCCTGTGAGAGGCAAAAGCAGGTCTGGGATCCCAGGCCCCACCCTCACCTGCATCTTGTGGGAACTCTCACCATGGGTGCTGCAAGGCCTGCTCACAGGTGAACCTCTTCTCTGGATCCTTCTCCATCAAGTGCCGGATAAAATCTTTGGCTGAACCCCCAAGACAAAGCAAGGACAGGATGGGGTGCCTGTGGGCACCTCCAAGACAGAGCCCACCCCCTCAGGTCTGCCCTGGCATCAAAGCAAGACAGGAGGCCAGATTTGTCCATGTACTGCCCATCTCATCTGTACTCTTTTCTCTGAGCCCCTATCGCTAAACTCAGCCCTTCAAGCTCTCTCCTTTCTCCTTTAAGAAACCTTGTTCTTAAAGCTCAAAATCATTTGGAAAAAAAAAAAAAAATACCAGGCTTACTGTTCCTATAGAAACTGATGAAACCCCCAAGACTCTGGCCCTCATCACCCCTTAGGCCTGGAATTGAACTAGCTCCTGAGGCTTCCAGCCAAATAGGCGTATGAGGTGAACATTTACACCAGGTAGGTACACTCCTTAGAACAATCAACCATAGCAGATCAGAAGGGCAGCATTTGCACAGGGAGGGAGCTCAAGGGGCAGGAATGGATAGGAAAGAAGGACACAGGGAAGAGGTAACCATAGGGAGAAAGTGGGAAGAAAGTGGTTACACTATGGGGATTCAATCAATGTCATGAGACAAAATAGATATGAACTGTTGTATGGAAAATTAATTTGCTCTATAAACTTTGGCCCAAATCACAATAAATAGTAAAATTATCATTAACAGTATTTATGATAACCAAATGGTAAAAACAATCTAAATAAATGCTCAAAGATGGGGAGAAGGAAAATTTGTTCTTAGAAAAGATGTATAAATGATTAATAGCTTCACAGTTTGCTTCCTAATAGGGGCACAGAAGGAGGGATGAAAATGTGGTGGTGTTTCAGGCATTAGGATGGCAGTAGGGGGAGGTCTTTTCAAAAACATGTTTAAAAAAAAAAATGTTCAAAGGATGGATGAATGTATGCCTACAAGTGTCTCAAGCTGGGGCCAGGTAGAAGGAAACCCCTGAGTGGGATGTCTGGGCCTGAAGCCAGCTCTTAGACTGGGCCAGGGGACCTGGACAGTGGGGAGAAGATGAAGGCACCAGAAGCAGGGCCCTGGGGAGGAAGGCAAAGCCTTACATACCGGAGTCCGAGATGTCGTCCCAGTAAGGAGAGTCAAACTCATATTCGGCCTTCAAAATCTGTTCGAAGAGTTTGGCATCATTCTCGTCATAGAAGGGGGGGTAACCACAGAGCCTGGCAGGGAGAAACCGTCCTCATTTCTACATTCACTGCACCTACTGCCTCTGGGATGGAGCTGTAGGGCGATCCTGGGAGTTAGGCAGGACCCACAGGAAGGAATGCCCCCTTTTACAAAGGAGGTAACTAGCCATCTCTGCCTTGCTCACTCCTGTCCTGCTACACTGGCCTCCTTTCTGTTCCTTGAACATACCCTGATCTTTCCCTCCTCAGGGCCTTTCTAAATCATTCTTCCCCCCGACCGTGAACAGCTGGTTCCCTCACTTCATTCAGGATGCCACACAAATCTCACCTCCTCGGAGGCCTTCCTGAACTTTTCATCTAAAATGGCATCCATCCCCATTTCCCACCCCTGCTTGATTTTTCTTCATGGCACTTTTTACCACCTAATTTATTTACTTGTTTATTGTCTGTTTCCCCTATTTGAATATCAGCTTCCTGAGGGCAGGCCTTTGCCTTTTTTGTTCTCTGCTAAATCCCCAGTACTTAACACAGTGTTTGAAACAAAAAAAAAAAAAAAAACAAACAGTTGCCCACAAGTTGTTTCTGACTCATGATGTCTCCAGGTCTGTCAGAGTAGAACTGTGCTCCACAGGGTTTTCAATGGCTGATTTTACTGAAATGAATGACCAGGACTTTCTTCCAAGATGCCTCTGGGTGGGCTTACTCCTGTAACTTTTCAGTTAAGGGCCATTTGTACCATACATAGACCCTACCTGAAGCATAAAAACAAAAAACCAAACTCATTGCCATCGAATTGATTACAACTGATAGCAACCCTTTTGGGTTTCTGAGGCGGTAAATCTTATGGAAGTCTTCCTTCTGCAGAGTGGCTGGTGGGTTTGAACCGCCAGCTTTCTGGTTAGCAGTCAAATGCCTTATGCACTATACAATTAGAGAGTTCCTGAAGCATAGTAGGTGCTAGCTATTGAAGGTAGTAATTAAGTAATGAACTGGTAGATAAAAATCTGCAGGGAAGGAAGAAAGAAAAGGCACAGGAAAGGAAGAAAGGAAAGTAGGGGAGAGGACCACTCTGGAGTCACACTCCCCAGTGGCCAAGCCCTCACTCACAGGATGTAGGCGATGACCCCTATGGACCAGCAATCCACAGCCTTGCTGTAGGGCTTCTGGGCTAGGACCTCAGGGGCTGTGGAGGGAAGGGGACATGGTGCTGACAAATCTCTGCCCTGCAGTGCCTGGTTCCATCCCTGCCCTTGGTCCCAGCCCAGGGCCCTTCTCACCCACGTATCCCGGGGTTCCACAGGCAGTGGAGAGTACACTGCCTGGGTCCTCCATCTTGGAGAGGCCAAAGTCAGAGATCATGATCTTGGAGTCTTCATCCAGGCTGTAATACAGCAGATTCTCTGGCTTGGAGGACAAGAGGGAGAAGAAGGAGCAGTCAGAGGTGGCCAGAGGCTGAGAGAACCTTCTGGTTCCCTAAGCACACCTTGAGAAACAATGCCTCCCACAAAGCCACAAAGCTTCATGGCTGCCATCTTGGCTAGGGGCACAAGAATCTCAAGGAAGGTCTCAAGGAGGTTTAAAGTTTCAGAAAGGACAAGGGCCTCATGAGGTAGGGGACAAAATTTTCTGTAAACCTCAGGTGTGTATCATGAAGCTGAAAAGACATAATCTTTCCACTATGTGCCATACTCTTTCTTAGTGCTTGATTTCACTTTGTCCTTACCACATCCATGCTAGATCAGTCTGGGTAATCCCATTTTACAGTTGAAGAAACTGAGGCTTGAGAGCAAAGTGACTTGCCCAAGAACCCACAGTTGGAAAATAGCAGGCCAAAATTCAAACCTAGATCCGTCTGAGCCCAGTGTTCTCCTAGACTAGACTGAGATGTGCTGAAAATGTGAAACCCCTCATCAGCTGTGAATAGTAGGAGTTTAGTGAGTCCTGGTTTCTTTATTCTCTTTTTGTCCCATCCACATTTTCTACAAAGTAGAACTTTTATTATCAGAAAAAGACATAAAACATTATTTGGATGAAAGAGCAGCAGAAATCACTTTTGTGTTCATTTTAGTGTCCTAACTGAAACTAGAAGGAGCTCTGGTAGCATAGTGCCTAAGGTACTTGACTGCTAACCAGAAGGCTGGTGGTTCAAGCCCATCAGCCACTCCTCGGAAGGAAGGTTGGGCAATCTACTTCTGTAGTGATACTGCCTCGGCAACCCAAGGAGGGGTCGCTATGAGTCGGGTCCTACTCGACGGCACACAACGACGACAACTGAAACTAGGGGAGGTAGTTTAGGGAATACAAGGTCCGTATTGCAGATGGGAAAGTGAGGCTCAGCGAGGGACGAAAGTTGCCCAAGGCCATACAGTGAGGATGCCTGGGCCCTGGGTGCCCCGCCTACCACATACCCTCACATCCCACCTTGAGATCCCTGTGTACGATGCCCAGGTCATGCAGGTACTTGACGGCATCCAGCACCTGGAAGATGAGGCGGCTGGCATCCCTCTCTGTGTAGAAGCCTTTCTCCACGATGCGGTCAAACAGCTCCCCACCCGACACCCTGCAGCCGAGTATAAGGCAGTCTGCCCAAGGGAGTAGGGCTGGAGAGACCAGGTCCTCCAGGCTGGGGGATGCAAAGAGGCCAGGGAAAGGGCAGCAGGAAGAAGTGTGACCAAGGGGCATAGGCAGGGCAACTCACAGCTGCATGATGAGGTAGAGATGGCCCCTACTTTCATAGATGTCATCCAGGGCTACAATGTTGGGGTGCTTGATCCTGGAAACAGAAATGAGGTGGCTCAGAGTTAAGGAAAGCTCAGTCAGCTCCCCAGCCTCGCTTCCCACTGCCTGCAAATCTGAGCAGGACAAACCAAAAATCTTGAAAAGGAAAAGCTGCTTTGCCACGATTTGTTGTAATTTATCAGGAGGCAAGAGAGCAGATGGGTAAATACTGGGCTTTAGCGTCGGATAGAACAGGGTTCAAAGCCTGCCTCTACCACATGCCACTGGGGACAAAAATTTCCTTCTTATCACTACTGATCAATACATGAATTTTAAAAATTTTCTCTGTCTCCGAGTTTGTTGGCCTCCCCAACCAGGTCAGCTCCATGGGACCAGGACCTTGCTTACCATTGTTCCCTCCCCCATTGTGCTCAATAATATGTGTTGAATGGAATGTAACCTCTCTGAACCTCAGTGTCTTCATCTATAAAATGAAGCCAATGACAGTACTTCCTCCAAAGAGTTGGGGTGAGGATCACATGAATCAATGCAGGTTAAGTGCTTGGCACAGGGCCTGGCACGTGGTAAATGCTCAATAAGTGAACCGATCGTGGTGACTGATGTTGATGAGGAGGAAGGCTCTGCTCTGCCACAAACTTGCAGCAGTTAGTTGGGTAACTCTCTTGCCCTCTCTGGGCTTCAGTTTTCTCCCCTGGAAAGTGGCAATGATCATTTCTTTCCTGCCCATCTCTCTGCCCAAAGTGGTTGGAAGGCCTCAGGGAGAGACTTGGAAGTGAAGATTTTCTGTAAGCTTCCCAGTGAAGGCCAGGAAGTTTATATCAACTTGAGCATTTCAAAATACCAGTTGGTTGTTGACTTGGTCACAGGGTCAGCAGACCGGCATTTTTTAACTTCCTGAGTGACTAATATGTGGGGGAACTTGAAATAGGTCTAGAGATAACACTAGCTTTATACATGGGTTCAGTCATGTTCAAGGAGTGACCTTTAGACCTGATAGGACAGATTAAACCACTGTAAATAGCACTTATATCTCAACCACATCTGTCATGTTAGTTCTTGTGCTAGGCCCTTGAAATAAAGGACCTTTATACTCCCCAAAACCCTGCCAAGTAGTCATTGTTAACCCTATTTTATAACTAAGCAATTTAGGTTCAGAGAGGTTAAATAATTCTGAAGCAGAGGGGGAAGAGGGTGGGTGGGGTCAGTGCAGTGTCAAATGGGGCAAGGGACAGGCTGTGGCCCACATACTTGTGCAGGACAGCAATCTCATTCTCCATGCTGCCCTCCTTGCCCTCCAGGGCCTTCTTGGCAATGCATTTGATGGCCACCAGCTTCTGAGTCCTCTTATCTTCTGCCAGGATTACCTCAGAGAAGGCCCCCCTGCAGGAAAAGGGAATTCCTGAGGTAGAAAACTGGAACCCCTGCTTCCCTCCAGCCTCTCCTCTATCCCCTAAGGGTCATGTGACCACCCCTGGACCAAGGAGGTGGGATGACTCTCTCCCAACCACTCATGTACCTCTGGCTCTAGAAGTGGTCACATGACCCATGTCTGGCCAATCAGAGCTGTCTCTCCCTTGGCCACAGTAACCAGCACTTTGAGAATGAGGTGTTTTTTTCTTGCCAGCCTGATAGTAGGTATGCTTGGAACTTCAGGAGAGCCTGCTTGAGTATAAAGCCCATACAAAGGAAATCAAAGCTGAGAAATGGTCAAAGCTAATTTCCTGGTAGCATCATATAAGCCCCTGGATCTAGCCATCCCTGAAGTCTTCGCCTGACCTTTCTGATTCTATGCACAATTGATTAATTCCTTTTCCTGCTAAAGCCAATTTGAATCTGGCTGATTTAACACCATTAGAACCTTGAAGAACCATTAGCATCATCTGGGAGCTTTTTAAAAATGCAGAATCTCAGGTCTTCCCTCAGACCTACTAAATCAGAATCTGCATTTTAACAAACTCCTCAAATGATGTGTATGCACATTAAAGTTTGAGAAGCAGTGCTTTAGAAAAGACACTTAGAAAGGAAGAAATAAAGTCATTTACACTAAAGTTCACTGAGTAAATTGGGTTTACTATGGTATTCTTTCTATGGCTGTTTGTTTTCCTTGGGAGAACAAGAAGCATACGCCAAAGAAAAATATGTCTCATGGTAAAATTTCAATCATCAGGAATAACTAGTGACTGTAATAGCCTCATCACTAGTTCATAGTCTTGTCCCTCTCCAATTTATCTTCTATCCTGTGGCTAGAGTGACCTGACTATCCTGAACTGCAAACCTGAAAAGTCTTTGTCTTCCAATAGCTCATGGGGTAAAGTCCAGTCTTGGTAGTCTAGTTTTCAAGGCCCTGTATGGCTATTCCCTTCTTTTCTCCAGCCTCTTCTTTCACTTTTCCCCAAACTTCTGATTTTAAGCCCTACCAGGCTCCTTACCTCTTTTCACACATACCATGCCTCTGAGCCTCTGCTGATTTGTCTAGAATGCTCTTAAGACCTCTGGTAGCATAGTGCCTAAGGCACTTGACTGCTAACCAGAAAGCTGGTGGTTCAAACCCACTAGCCACTCCTCAGAAGGAAAGTTAGGCAATCTACTTCCCTAGTGATACCGCCTTGGAAACCCAAGGAGGGGTCGCTATGAGTCGGGTCTGACTCAACGGCACATAACAACAGAATGCTCTTCTCCGTCTCTGACAAGTATCCTCCCACTCATCCTTCAGTCCCCAGCATCAGTGCCCACTCTCCCAGGCAGAAGCCACAGCCACCTCTCAGCTGTACAAAATCCTCAGCCCCAATCTTAATTGGAGCACTGAACACATACTGTTGTCATTTTCCATGGGTCTGTCTCCCCCAAGTGTCTGGGATCCACTTGTGGGACAGAGATCAGGTTTGAGTTATTTTTGGATTCCCAGCACTGTGCACAGAGCCATGCTCAGCCTCATTTCCCAAACCTCGGCCGGGAGCCCCTCAAAGGTAGACTCTTCATTCTCCCCCACTCCCCCTTCCCTTCAGTGGGAACCCAGAGCTGCAGCAAGAGCAGCCACTGTCCCACCTACTGACAGACAGAAGTGAGAAGCCAAGGCCAGCCTGGGCCACAGCGAGGCTGCCACAAGGCCTGTGCTGTAGGAAACAGGAAGCAGTGATCAACTGACCAGAGGAAGCATCACTCTAGACACAGTCAACTCAGCCATCCAGACCCAGGAGTGAGGACATCCCAAATCCCCTTCCTACCACCAGGCCATCTCAAGGACAGCTTCCCTTCTCTCCTGCCCTGAGACCTGAAGGGTCACTCACGTGCCCAGAATATCACGGAAGTCGTAAATGTCTCTAATGTCCTCCGCTTGCTTCCAGCTGGGAGCTTCCACTGCCCCCGGCATGGCCCACTGCGCACTGGCCACAGCCAGGACTCCTGGGAAGAAGAATGGAGGATGGGAACTCAGTGGGGTTCAGTCCTCTCTGTGGGAACTTACTGGGGGGCTCCTGCAGTCATTCAGCATGCATTTAGTCACTCCTTGATTCAATCATTCCACAAAGTCACTTAACAAACACTTATTTGTTCACTAGTCATTTGTTCATTCAACATCCTTTATGGCTGAAGCAAAATTCTTCATTCAACAAAGGCATTCATTCATTCATTTATTCTGCTCATTTCCCTGTTTCTCTCTTTCCAAATCCAAGCCCTTAGAGGAGACCTGATCTCTGGAAAGACAGCAGAGAAGACTCCAGAGGCACTTGTACAAGTGTACAGTCTGGGAGGATACCCCTTCCCCAGAACCAGCAATGTCCCAGCCCCACCCTGGGAATTTCTGGGGTGTCTTCTTCCCTGCCGCCCCCTCAACCACTCGGAAATCAGGTTTCCGGCAGCCTGGGCTTCCAGCAATATCTCAGCCACATTTTAAAATAGCTCCTTCTGCACTGTTACCACAGCAACAACAGCCACAGCTGGAGCTCCCCAGGCTTCCTTCTACCCCATGTCCCTCCTGACTCCCCATCTAGGTCCAGGCAGCCTGAGAAATGGTCCCACGAAACCTTTTCCCTCCTGGCCCTGACTCATTCTAATCCAACCTGGACCTTCCCCCACTGAGGCCTGTGTCTCATCCAGTAGGAGAGGTGGGGATTATCTCCCCATTTATCAGAAGAATGGGGAGCCTGAGGTTGAAGACAGGTAGGGGCTAGGTCCAGAGTTCCCCAAATGAGCCCCAGCTGGGGCTCCAGTTAAGCTTGCTGAGGGCAAAGCCTATGAAGAGGGCTTCCTTCAGGGGGTCTTTCCAATTTTAAGCCAGGTTGGGGCTCATTAGAACACAGCTTCCCAACTCCATACCAGGCCCATAGAGGATGAGGCCAAAACAAAGCCTAGTGTGCTGTGTGATCTCAGGGAAGGTGCTTTCTCTCTCTGTTTCCTCTGAGGGAAACTGAGGGGAAGGTGCCCTGACAAGAGCCCTTGGTGTGAAATCCCACCCCTTGGGTGGGACCCTGTTACAAGAGGGACCTGGCCACCAATCCCAGGAGCAGAAACTTCTGGGAAAAGAGACTTGGTAGTGAGCTCTAAAGGCACAGTCTTAAACTTGCTGAAGGCCTGGCACATAAGCCTCTCACAGTTCCACACATGTCCCTACACCCAGACATCCCCCACCAAGCCCCACCCACACCCCTGAACCCAGACATCTGTCCCCAGAGCCAGCACACCCTATATCCAAATAAACACCCTGAGGCCTACTCATACGTGTATACCCAGACATCAGCACACATTTCCACACACATACTGCCCCACATATCCTTACAGACATCCAGATCCTCACCCTGACTCTCTTATGCCTCAAAACGCACATCTACACACCTGGACAAGATGACACCTCAACAAATTGACACCCAGACACATACACCTGTACACCAGATACCCCAGATTCACCCACACTTTACACCCTCCAGTTCCTATATCTCCAACTTACCATATACCTATGACTCCAAACATCCTTAGCAATTATACCCCACTCCCCAACTCTTGAGTTATTGCCCTTACAGCCACATGCCTTTACTTCTCAGCACACACAATACCTGGACACATCCCCAGACATCCCCACCCATAAGAATATCCTGACACACCAACCCACTGCACCTCCATATCTGATCCACATCACCCTCTTAAAGACAATAGTACATGCCAACATGCCCCCCCCCACATTTACCTCCAATTGCCCATGGCCTTCCACATTCAAGCGCAGTTGAAGACACACACACACAAACACACACACCTCCCACCCTCCTCTATTACCCGCCTAGTTTCCCACGGCCCGCCAGGCACCTGCTGGGCCTAGGGCAGAGTTGGAGAAGAAAGGCCCAGTCATGTCCATCCACGGTCCTGCCTGCCTGAGCACCCCTCCCATCCCTGGGGGAGGGCTTTCAGAGGCGAGGGGATCCAGCTGTCCCCCTCAGCGCCCGGCGGCGCGGGCGGGGCTGCCTCAGCCCAGGGCTGTACCTGCGGCTGCCCCGCCGCGGGGCTGGCTGGGAGGCCCGAGGTGGCTGGCGCCGAGCTCCGGCCGCGGTCCGCCGCCGCTGAGCGCCTAGCCCGCCCTCCAGTTCTCTCGCTGGGGCTCGACTCGGGCTTGGCTGGCTCCCCCCTCCCGCCAGCCCGCGGCTCTGATGTCAATGGGGGAGGAGCCTGTGGCGGAGGGAACTGGGTTGGATGGCGTGGCGCTGCTCCCCTCTAGGGAAGGGACCCGCGTGGGACCCCTTGATCGTGGTCAAACCCTTGGTGAAAGCTTCCCCTCCTTCGTTCTCCGGCAGGGCTCCCATTTCACAGAGGGGACAACTGAGGCCCAGAGAAATGAAGGGTTCCAAATCAGTGGCGGGGTAGGATTCGAACTCAGGTCTGTCTGATGGAAGAGGCTGGCCAATTTCACCCTGTAGCTCGTGGATTCCAGACCAGTTCTGGGAGTCACCTTAAGGCTCCCGGGGCTTCGTCTCCCCTCCCTCCTGCGTTCAGAAGAGAATTAGACCTGCAGAAAGGTTCGGGAGACTGGGGGTGGGGGGGTGGGGGGCCGCGGTTCCGAGGAGGTAGTAGGGAAAGGGCGGGGCAAGAGTAGGTGATGAAGAGTCGTAGCACTCGTAGAGTGCGAGCTCCATCCAAACCCCATTTAACAAGAAAAACTGACACCCGAGGTCCCTCAGTGAGGCAGAACCCAGGCTCCAATCCCTGACACCTGCCCCTCTGAGCGGTGTGGTGCTCAGAGGTTCTGGGGCTGGGAGGGATGAGCCAGGTGGGGTGGGGTGGTGGTAAATCAAGAGAAAACAGGCCAAGGAGAACCCAAGTGCCACGTGAGTAAGCAGGCGCCCGGGGCTGATGGCTGGGGGCCAGGTGGAAGAAGGGGGGAGCGCCAAGCTGGCTCCCGAGGAGGCAGGCAGGAAGCCAAGAGACCTGACCCAGGTCCTTTTGCGCAAATCCTTCCCTGGGAAGAAATTCGGCACCGGATAGGAAGTGGGAGAGCAGCTCAGAGGATCTGGCGCTGGGGTTAGACTGCCAGCTGGAGGTGCTGCCCGGACCCCCACTCCATCGACTTTCTAGTGCCACTCCCCACTCTAGAATTACTGCGTTTTCTAGTTGAAGATGTCATGAAGACAATTCTTACCCCCACTCATTTCCAACTGCTTTTCTCTCCCTTAAGGAGTTGTAGTGACGCAATGGTTAAGGCAGCCGATTGCTAACCAAAAGATCTGCGGTTTTAAACCAACCGCTGTGTATATGTGGGGTGGGGGGAGATGAGGCAGTCTTTCTATAAAGATTTATAGCCTTGGAAATCCTATGGGCAGTTCTACTCCACCATGTAGGGTCACTGAGGGCAATAGGTTTGGGTTTTGTTTTTGCCCTCCCTTATCACGGCTCTACGTGAGAGGTTGGTCAATTTATTATGCCCATTTTACAAATGACAGAGGAAGAGGGGCTGAGGTTAGTTCGGTGGCTTTGGAATCTGACTAGCGTGTGTTACCTCTCTGGGCCTCATTTCTTCATCTGAAATAAGGGAATATTGATGCCTGCCTCATAGAATTTTCCTGAGAATTACATAAGGTAATGGATGTGAACTGCCTGAAACACAGTAGGAGCACAAAACATGAGAGCTAGATTTAGTGTAAAATGAGGATCAAAAAAGGGACCTGACTTGGCCAGAGGCAGAGGGCCAAGGGATAATTTCCCTCCCTCACATCTCAGTATCTGAGACTCCCCTAAGGAACTAAGGGGCAATGTCCCTTTTCCAAATCTCAGTACCTCAATTTCCCAGTCCAAAAAAAAAAAAAAAAAGACATTTGACTGCTAACCAGAAGCCTGGCGGTTCAAACCCACCGGCCACTGCCCAGAAGGAAGGTTGGGCAATCTACTTCTGTAGTGATATCCCCTTGGAAACCCAAGGAGGGGTCACTGTGAGTCAGCCCTGATTCCATGGCAGCCGTTTTTTGTTTTTTGTTTTTTGTTTTTTAGGCCCAAGGCTGAGCTGCTACTCTCCCTTCCACCTACCCAATATACACATAGAGCTGGGGGTAGTTTCACAACAAATTCCTGTTTCTCTCATTGACAATATTCCCAAAATGAAGATGGTATCAGCTCATCTGAGGACTTGGACAAATTTTATGCTCTAGTTTTTCAAAAAAGATTTTTTTTTAAATTGCTGAAAAATACACAGAGTACATACCAATTCAACAACTTCTACATGTACAATTCATTGTCATTGATTACATTCTTCATGCTGTACAGTGATTCACACTCTCCTTTTCCTCTTCCCCTTTACCCCCTAAATTTTCTATATTTGGAGTTGCTGATATCAGCTTGATCCCATACAGATAATTCTTTAAAAGAGCATAATGCTCAAGTCAGATATTCTTTATTAATTAAGCTAAATTATTGTTTAGTTTAAAAAAGACTTAATGGGGTATTTTTGTTATAAGGTTTAGAGATTATCTCAGGGCAAGTTTGAGGGGTTCATCCAGGCTCAGTTGCTCCAGAAAGTCTGGATTCCATGAGAATTTTGAACCCTCTTCTGCATTTTCCCCCTTTCGATCAGGATTTTTCTATAGAATCTTTCCTCAAAATGTTCAGTAATGGTAATCAAGCACCATCCAGCTCCTCTGATCTCATGGCAAAGGAGGCAGATGTTCATGGAGGCAATTAGCCACATTATGCTCTGTTTTAGTTTATGTCTGCTTTGAGCATGTCTAAGGGCACTCTGGTGGTGTAGTGTCTAAAGTATTTGACTGCTAACCAGAAGGCTAGTGGTTCAAACCCACCAGCCACTCCTTGGAAGGAAGATTGAGCAATCTACTTCCATAGTGATAACTGCCTCAGAAACCCAAGGAGGGGTCACTATGAGTTGAATCCGACTCCACGGCAGTGGTTGGTTGGTTGGATACAGTATACACACTTCTCCCTACAGCCTCTGAGCATAGTTCAAGGTACAAATCAAAAATGAGTCAGGAAAGTCAGTTATGTGTAGAAAAAAAGGGATAACCCACCCTGTTTTTCTAAGATTAGAGAAAATGGAAGACATCACAAATGAAAAGATGGACAGTTTATTAAGAAAATATAAAAAAAATTCTTCAACTTCTGTTGCTGAAGAAAAAAGCAAATTTGTTATAAATTGAATTGTATCCCCCCAAAATAAGTGTTTTAAATTCAAACCCCTATACTTGTAGATGGGAGCTCTGGTAGCATAGTGCCTAAAGCACTTGACTGCTAACCAGGAAGCTGGCGGTTCAAACCAACCAGCCACTCTTCAGAAGGAAGGTTGGGCAATCTACTTCCGTAGTGACACTGCCTTGGAAACCCAAGTAGGGGTCGCTATGAGTCAGGGCTGACTCAACAGGCACATAACAACAACAACAACAACATACTTGTAGATATAATCCCATTTGGAAATAGGGTTTTCTTTGTTATGTTAATGAGGCCAGGTAAGTATGGTTTGCTTTAAGCCAATCACCTTTGAAATATAAAGTGAGCAAATTAGGCATAGAGAAGCAATCAGAGATGGGGGGTGATAGATGCCATGTCCAGGAAGATTGCCACAGAACACAGAAACAAAACCTGAAAAGATACAAGGATCTTCCTCCAGAGCTGACAGAGAGAAAGACTTCCTCTAGAGCCGGCACCCTGAATTCGGACTTGTAGATTTCTAAACTATAAGAGAATAAATTTATCTGTTAAAGCTTGTGCTGTTTCTGTTATAGCTGCACTAGATA